TAAATGAAAAAAATTGTTTGCTGTTTTTAATTTGTATAAATAGTATTTATAAATAAAAAATTATTAGTAGTGAGATTTATGTAAAAACGGTTTCATTATTTCATTTTAAATTTAAATAAAATATAACAAATCTTATTTTAAGACTTATATTCAAAGAATTAATTTTCTTCAATCATAAAAAAAATATTAGAGATATATAACTTTATTTTTTAAATCAATATTTTTATATTATAAACTATTAAAAATTATAATTATATAATAAAAATTCGGTGGATATGAAAATATTTGCGAATATAAAACGAAATATTTACATTGTAATTTTTATTTAATAAATTAAATAATTTTAAATATAAATACAACCATGTGGAGCATATTGTGGTGAATAGTGAATCAAAGTTTTGCTGTTGCAACAAGTTTTGTAGTGGTTATCGCAAAAAACCGTTATTCATAGTTTTGTTTTGTGAAGTGCTCTATAATTTCTTGTAAAAAATTAAAACTTTAGTATAAAATTGAGACATTGGAATGAAGTTTTATAAGTATATATATATTAATAAGTATTTCGCATCGCCGTTAGTAGTGTTTATTTCATTTTGTTAAAAGTTGTGCAGTAACCAATTAAAAGTGATCTGATTTTAATAAATGCAATTGCTGAAAATATTTCTCCTGCAAGTGTTAAAAAACGCATAAATATAAAATTAAGATATTGTTTATATGTATATCAATTAGATTTATGAAACGATTGAACTCTTAATTTTGAATACGCTGGTAAGTTATAAATATTTTTACAATTTTTTAAATTTTGCATCAAAAATTTATTCTTACGCCCACAAAAAAATATTATGAAAATTAATATAAATAAATTTCATAACATATGTATATTTAAACTGAAATATAATATATTTTATAGAAAGTTTTATAATAGCATATAATAATTCGTAATAGAATTTTAATAAAACATATGGTTATAATATTCACATTACATTTTATATATAATGTTACTATTATTACATACTTTTTATGCCAGGTGTTTTAAGAAAAAATTCTACTTGTGTCAAAAATAATTTCAGAATTACAATGAAGGGGAGATGAGCATTGTATTCATTTATTGATGAATTACTTATGTATGTATGTACTCATTCATAAAATGAACAAGTCGGTTAGTTTCATAAATCAAATTGCTGTAATGTAAACTGCAGTAAGGCTGTGTTTGGTTCATTGTTGTTGGAAGTATTAAATTATAATTTAAACATTTTAAGCAAATAATATTTAATAATTATAAAATATTATTATAAATTTAAAAATCTATTTATTAAATTATTTAATTTTCAGTTTTTGAGTTAAAAACTATATAAATCATACTCCTTTGCTGTAATATATTTTTCATTAAAAATATATGCATCTTTAATTAAAAATGCATTTTCAAAAAATTAGTAAGTGTCCATGGTTTGATGATTGAATATTTTTCGCGTGTAAATGTAATGTTTAAATGCAAGAAAAATCATTTTTTTAGAAAAATTATTAAAATTGATATTGAAATATCAAAAATATATCACTATCATTTAAATAATAATTATTACAACAAATAAAAAGAAAATAAATAAATAAAAAATGCAAATAAAAAAAAATATGAATGCTATATAAAATATAAATGCAGAAAAAACTTTTTTAATTTTATATATACATCAGTCACACCATATAAATAATAATATTTAATAGTCATGTTTTCCTTAACTAATATATTATATAAAAAAGCGAAGATATATTTCTTGAAATTTTAAAATATTATAATATCATAAGGATGAATTTTACACATGAACACCATTTTGTTTCTAGACTAAAACTATTTAGTTATATTAGTTGAGTTTACTTTACCCTTTCTTTAAACTCCGAAAATTTTGACCGTACACATATACCCAACAAACCTGAAAGTGTATATATAGAAAGCTCTAGTAACATTGAAGTTTAAAGAGTTAAATCCCACTCTTTCAATTGTGTACATATTATACATATAAAACACAAAACTACATATACTATTTTGCATATAAATAACATACGATTGGATTGGGTATTAAAGAGTGAGACAAGTAACTAATTGCAACTTTGGTCTCAAATAAAAATTTTATTGTTTTATTTTCAAAATAAAAAAGAATACAATATTTTATTTAATTTCTGAATAATTCAACTCCGTTCGGCATCTAATATTCTCGCTACATTCATTTGAAAATGAAAAATATATCCAGGCAACTGTATGTTGGCGCAAAGGTTATGAAAATAATAACTGAAAATAATAAAGCTACTTATTGTTATTATTAAATAAAAGGTTTTGAATGCACACCGACCCAAAATATTAGTTGTGCGCCTAAAAGCCCAACTAAAAAAATTGTAGACTATTTATAAATCTCGTGATTGCTGTGAACTTCACCTATTTTGCCTATTTGATTTGAGACCAGTAAAGCTATTTACTTTTTCTACATATTTCTGTTATTGATTGAAAATTAATCTAGTTGTTTTTATGAAATAAACAATAATATTAATTTAATTTTTTTGGTTTTGATTACTTGAAAACCGCTGTATATGTATATATGGGGGACAATAAAATTGCTCAACTGCTTTGAATAATGATGCAAGAATAATTCACTATTAACTAATTTTATATCAATTAATCAATATATTAACATTTTCATATTAACAGCAAAAATATACTAAATAATATATGGTCTTATATCAACCATAAAGTTAATGTTAAATTTTATCTAAAGATAATTCCTCGGTATTGAACACGTCTTCAGATCGGTCTTAAAAATATAATCATCATGTGGATTTTTTTATTCACAAATCAAATTATTTAGATTAAATTTTATTAAAAGTTTGATTTTAAGTTGTAAAAAATTTTAATGTAGTTACGTTTTCTTCCCAGCAGTTATAATAGCGAAGAATCGTTATCGTCTGCGAATTTTGCAGAGACGCAAATTAATTCCTTAATAAGATACTTCTTAGGGTTATGAATTCCTTAGCATTCCATATGATAACTCATTTAAAGCTAGCTTTGGTATTGTTATTTCATTGCGCATTCTCGATAATTACGCACGATCTTTCTAAAGATTATTAGGTCCGCAATCTACAATCATTAATTGTGAAAATAGTACTTTTTCGCAGAATGTGTTGTGAACATTATATAGATTTTTTAAGCATTAGTTTTATATATCAAAGAAATAAATCAATTCAATTCAATTTTAGTTAATTTAGCATAGGTGCATGGGTTGAGCAGTTTCCAGTTTTGATAAGTATTTGCAATAGCACTTAATATATATAAATTTCATGTAGCTGATGCCAGATATTGCAATGACGAAAACTCAACTTAAATGATTCCTCTTAAGCTAATTAAAGATATTTCTGACAAATTATATTATATAATATTATTTATAAAATAACTTACATCATTATATATTATTATTATATTATATTAATATAATTTATATAACTTATTTATATTATTATATGTTATATTATTCAGGTAAGACTTATTTACGCTAGTCTTATCTTGATTTTAATTTAGAATTTAAAAATAAGGTGTTTTCTATATACGTTTGTTTGACATATCACATAAAATAATTCTTACTTTCTGCTCCATACTACGTTTTCCATATAGATATACCTAGTACGTATTTACATACAGATATATTCATATATATTTTAGACATGCCCATTTTGTATTTTTTACTTTGTTAAAGCAGAAATGTAATTTTAACACAAATATTCTAACAAATGTGAGAAAATGTACAAAAAAAAGATTCTGAGATTCTAAAAGCGATTTCTGGTTATTATATGTATTAAAGATGTAGGTTCTGTTTCCGAGAAGTATCAATTTTTTGATAGTTCTAGCTTCATGAATTGTACTGCATACGTTTCGTACTTATTTGTTTAATATAATATCTTATTTTAAAATACAGATCTATTTTTAAACTACTATTGGTATTACCCTCTAATATGAATCAAATGCGTCAGAGATTATAAATGAACTGGTTCAGTGACGTATCTGGTTTAACAGTGAAAGTCATTTCATTTACGTGACTAATTTAATAACAATTAATTTTAATATCATCCCGTTTTATTATTAAAGTTTATTATTTCAAATTAATACAAATTTATTACTTTTACATGACGTATTATTTCAGTGTTAAAAAATATACAAATAAGCATAGTGTTAAAATGTTTGTTTTCAGAGATTCAAAAGATTCAAGCGATGAATTTTATGTTTTTCAAAATTAATTTTAAAGCTTAGCTATATTTAATATTGAATTAAAATTTAAAAAACTTAACTTCATTATTTTGTTTACTTTTTTTATAATATTGATTTTTACAATTTCTTCAAACTCGAAATCCTTGGAAAAATTTGTTCCAACTAATTAACCTTTTTAGATACATTTATATACAACAGGGAATTTGAAATATTGTAAAGAAAATCGAAAAAAATTCCATTAATTTTAAAATTTATATTCAAAAGCTTATCAATTCAATTAACTGACGAAGTCTGATTTCCACGAGTCAAAACAATATTCAAAAATATTATTCCCTTCCAATTTAAACTTGAGTATCGATATTATTCCTGACATATCAGTGCATGTAATGCTCTTAATATTATTAGCCTGATTCTCTTAGTTCTTAACAAAATTTGTGGTTGCTAAAAGCACGCCATTACAAATCTCTGAAGATGGTATCTTGTCAGACTAATGAACAACAGGTCTTACTGGTTTCCAGTACGTTGAAATCTAAAGTGCCCATCGTGTTTGCACAAAATGAACCACCATCAAGCACCAAAAAATAAACGTTGACATGACGTGGATGCGATTAAATGTCCAAAGTTACAAAATAAAAAAAAAACAGAACAAAATTACAATAATAAATAATAAAACATGAAAAAGAAAACAAAATAAATTTGAATGTTTTCCCTCAGGGTAGGTAAATATATTTAAAGCTCTGCAACTATCAGTGATGAATAATAACCGGCACGGAAACGTACTTAACACATGAGCGCAAGCAAATGAGTGAAATCAACCCTAAAGCATGCGTTGCTGATAAGCCTCGAGGCGACACATACACGTCACAATTCGCTCCAAAATACACAAAAAAAAAAACATTAATTACTGAACAATACAGGAACAAACAGCAATACCCAAACACTGACATGCACACACCACGTACACATACATAAACACTGAGACGTGCTCCGCGATTTCCAGTCAAAATAGAAAAATGTTGCTAAATCTCTTTGATCGGTGAGCATTAGTGCCGCTTGACGTAGTCATCCTTCCGATTGGTGAGCGGTGGTGTGGTGGTAGAGCAATCAGCAGCATGTTTACATTCCAGTCTGCGGACTAAACAACCCCTCGGGTGTATAAAAAAAAAGGATTTGGAATGGCGCCGCCACGACCGACACCAATATTAAGAGGGTTGTTGCTGAATTCGAGTAAAATTACCGAATATGAACGTTTTGGAATTGCATAAAACTAATGAGCGCCCTTAACTGCTGTTTAGTTGGTTAAGAAACGCGATACGGGAAACAAGTCACAAATCATAAACAATAAAACGCAAACGAAAAGTGTCGAAAATGCAACAATTTTGTCGTCATTTTCACTTGATCTACTGAAATCGAGTCATCGAAAAACCGAGTAAAAAGAACCCCACCAATTTTTAGTGCGCCAAAGTACAAACGGTACAAAAGATCGGTACTATTTTGGTTAAACGAAAATGTCCTCGTGTTATAGTGGCTTCGATGATCGTTCGTTTGAATTCGATGATTCTTCATACGACAGCGGCTATGAGAAAAGCTTCGAAACGGATTGTAATTCTACATCGCGTAAGCTTTTCTTTGATAGTACTACGGATTTTTGCAGTGCACCTGAAAGACGACTAACAGCCGGTGTAATCAACGCAAGTTTCGAACAAACACAATTTGTAGGCTTATTCGATAATAACAGCAATCACAGCAATCGCAGTGCACTTACACTTGTCGAACATGTTATCAGCAAGGCAACGCCTGCTGATCTATCGGATGAGGATGGTTTTTCACCCAAACTTGGTGAACATACATCGACACCAACCAAAAATGCGGGAAAAATCGAACAAACAACTGAACCAAAACCAAAACGGAAATATGCCGTCGGTAAAAATCGTGTAACACGTTCGCGCAGTCCTTCCCAAGTCGTTCGTATAAAGAAATTTAGACGCATGAAAGCGAACGATCGTGAACGGAATCGTATGCACACCTTAAACGATGCATTGGAACGTCTCCGTGTTACATTACCTTCACTGCCGGAAGAAACAAAACTGACAAAAATCGAAATATTACGCTTCGCACACAATTACATATTTGCACTGGAACAAGTGTTGAAGAGTGAGGGCACCATCAATCTTGACCTGGAAAGATTACAAAATTTTACGTTAAGTGGGGAGAGAATAACAAAGGAATTATTTGACGCGTTGTTTGTAAATCCACAGCCATATCCAATATTAGGTATGGGTATGGGCGCAGGAATGGGCATGGGCATAAACTATATGAACATGTCTGGTCGTTTACCATATACTGGTGCACAACATTCTTACCAACAACATTTCGAGCAACAACAACAAATGCATGCACAACAACATGGTGTAGAACAGCAAATGCTTGGATATAATTGCTATGATCAGTGCAATAACGTGCGCCAATACAACGATTTACAGCTGCCACATAAACAAAACATGCCAGATCCTGCCACATCTCCTCACTTTTCAGCAGAAAAATATGAACTATTCAAGAGTACCTTCGAGGCAGCTGCAAATATACGTAACACTAATTGTAGTGCTTATAATGAACGTTTTTCTACCTCCGCTGATAAAACTGCGGGCTACACGCATATACAATCAAATTCTCCTGCCTCCTATGGTATGCCACATGTGGCTGTGAATGCACAGACTACTATACACCACATGGATACCCACGACAGAGCAACAATATCACCAACATTCACCAAAAATTCAACATTGCATCACAACAGCAGTTTTTATTCTCAAACGCCACCTTGGAAGGATTACAACGAGCAGCTCATCAATACCAACAATAGTTATGAGCAATATTCAGCGGTATAGCATAGGTGTGGAACTTCATATGTGTGGTTATGTCTAGTATTTAAGTGTTCATATTTATAAAGTCTAAAGAAGGGGTTTCGATAGTTTAGCTTTAGCGAAATTTTTCGTCAGTGATAAATAGGCTAAGTTTAAGTAATAAGTTTACAATAATAAAAACAATTCTAAGATTTTAAAACTAAACAATGTAAAAGTTGTAAATGTAAAAATTAAACTATATTTTATTAATTTTTTGAAAAATAGAAAAAAAATTATAAAAAATATTTTAAAAAATATTTATTAAGTACATTGTTTACTTTTAAAATAAGAATTTTTTAATATAATACGAAAATTAAATTTATAACTTAACAGATTCTAATAAGAAATTGTTAATTTAACAAATTTAATTTACTAAAAAAATTGTTAAATTTTTTTTATTACAATATTAAGAATCTAACAAATTTTTTTAAAATGTTTTTAGCAACGAAAAGTTTTAATAATTAACAAAAATTTTTATTTTCTTAAAAAATTTACTTTAATACTTTTTGCGATTTAAAGCAAAAAGTGTTGACAATCTAATATTGTTCAAGATTTTTAAATTTTTTAACAAAATACTAATAATTGTTATAAAATCTGCTAGTCTAGAAGAAATCAAATGTTAACCTATAAACATTAAAGAAAAGATTATAAGGTTGTCGTAGGAATTCAGTACCTTGCCTATTAGATTTTATGAAAGCTTAAAAAAATGTTTAACTGTAAGGCGCAGATAAACCAAAGATATTTTTTTATTTATGGAATATATAAAATAGATATAAATATCTAGTTACCTAAGACACTTAATTGTTTATATATTATGTATTAATATGTAAGAATTTATTTATTAACTAAGTCTATATTTTTGTAAGCTATTTATGGAAGTGTAAATTATAGTAATAAATTTGTTACAAGAGCAGTAATTAAAGTACAATTCAGGAGCTAGTCACTTTGTTCAAAGAATTTATAGATTATTTTCGGTTATATATATACACTAAGTTTTAAAAAATGTATTTTTTTTATGCAAAAATAAAATAAAACTAACGAAATAAAGTTTAAATAATTGATAATAACATATTAATAGGGCGACACTGGTTGGTAAATCGAAAAATTTGATATTTGTTAGACAGAGTAAAGAAGACCTTGTAAATTTTGATTTTACATTTACAAAGTTTGCGAACGATTATTTAAATCTTTCAAATGCATTACAAATAATGCATTAATAATCAATAATAATCAATAATAGAATAAATATAAAAATAAGAAATGTCAAGACGCGAGAACAAACTAAAAGACGACGCTGATGTGATTTATGATTGCATTAATTATAATTATATATTAAAGGGTTTACCCAGTTCAGATATATTTTTGAACAAGATGTTAGTGTATTCATCGTTTAAGCTGAAATGGGCATGAACAGCAACTGGTTTATAATTTTATTCTCTATTTGTCATAAAAATGTCTATGTATATTTTAAAAATGATTGATACGAACTTAAAAAAGTGCTGTTTAACAGCATTATTACGTTCAACAATTCATACGAAATTTTTAACATTAAAGGCTATAAATATGACTTTTTAGAGCTGAATGGAGTTATTAAACTTAGTTTGAATAAATTTTAATATTAATAAAGTAATAAAAACATATTTCTATGTGTGATTTGGCAAATATATGTAGTTTCACAGTCATCTTTTAAGGTGAATTTTCTGTCAACAAGAAGGTGTTGAAATAATCGATCGAAATAATTGATTATCTGGTAATAATAATAATGATAATCTGGATATTAGGACTCCATAGTAAATACCTTAACGCTTTCAGCAAAATCATTAGATATATATACGGTCCATTATTTTTTTTATTGTAAGGGACCAGAATGCATCGCGACCATAATAGCTATCTGATATATAGCCTTGCATTTGAACGATGTGCGGTTTATCACACATGATAGATAGGATAGGATACAATACTTATGATAGGATACAATACTTTTACTGTTATTCAATTCCAATTTCTTATTCTTAATTTTTTTGATGCAAACCAAGGAAAAATTACCGGCTGTAGAAATTTGAATTATTTATTGACCTGGGAGACGAGAGAGATGAGATGAGACGAGCAAAGCCCGATCTTTTCATTTTTGGTTTGACGAAAGATACTTAGGTATCTAAAATTAAATCAAAGATATTGTGTATTAAAATCATAAGATTTCTTTTTTATGCCATCTATTTGATATATCAAAGCACAATTTAGAAATGAGTCATGTGAGATATTTGAAAGATGAAATATTTATTTAAGTATTAATGTTTAAAAGATGTTGCTTAAATTTATAAATTAAAATTGAAGCTCTGCATCTTAGCATAGTACATTTAAAACCTTTAGGAATGTAAGTAATTGCTTATCTGTATCCTGAAATTTCTAATGACGCTCCTAAAGCTTCTAAAGTGACGATTATTTTTTTGTATTAAAATTAAGGTTACACTACATAATATACTGAAAGTGGTGATTCGCAACGGCGTTTGAATAATTGCAACAGTATTTTAAAAAATGTTAAAACATAAAGTGTGAAAAATTAAATTATTTTGGTTTAATTAAATAATATTTTTTACTTAAATAACTTGGAAAAAATATTAACAAATAATTTTATATTGATGAGTCATAAGCTTACAATGAGTGTCAGAATTGAAACTGTCAATATATGTATATAAACTTATTGAAATCAATAATTTCGTTACTGTAACTAATATAATGATATTGTATATGGAAGCATATAAAACACATTTTTAATGTTTATTTCTACTCTTCACGTAATACTCTTCACATGAGAAGAACTTACTACTTAATTCAAAACCTCAACAATAGAATCCCATACTAACTCACAGTTATTTATTTTTATAAAAGAAATTTACTTTTTATAAAATTGAATAAATATCTGAGTTAGGCACTATCTTCAAATCGTTGAAGCGTTACGTTGTGTTTGAGAAATCGTTCTCTGCTAATGACATGTAAATGCTTATCTACTAAGATGAGGTCTTGTGTCTCAATAGAAACTTTAGAACTATAAATTCCAGAATGTTTATTAAATTTTGAACATTTGAAAAAAGTCTTAATATGTTGGGTTTCATATATTAATGAAAATGAAAATCATTGGGTCTATTTTGAGCGCAATGTACATTTATTACATTTTATTATTTTTTATTACTCTTTATTAATAATAGTATGGAAATGATGGATTTTTTATTTATGAGCTTAATTAATTTATACTCGTATAACCAAAAATTCTCTTTGTGCATTTTGAAGGAAAAATTTATGAAATGTTTATGGGTAACATTATTTTTAATGATTCTTTAAAATATGTCCTAGTTTTCTATCTAAGCACTAGTTTTCTATCGGTTTTATAATAAAAATACTGTAATAATATTATATTAACTACATATTACTACATAATACTTTTAATCATATATTAATAAAAATAAAAAGAACTTGGTTATTGCTGCTCATGAAATACAAAAAGCATATTCAAATTACTTGACATCGTGATTGGACTGGACATTAAAGTTCTTTCTGCTCAACTGCTTATCATAATCTGTGTGATTATTTATTTAAATTGTAGAAACCTAATCATATATATTAGTCATTTCTATATTAGGCATTAGTGTGTTTTGTGGTTTGTCTATCGGTGATAGACAGTAAAAAGACTTCTATCGTTGATAGAACAAATCCAAATTTATTTAAAAAAAATTTTCTTTTTTTGCTTAAGGTCACACCTTAAGCGTTAACTCAAGCGTTAATATTATTTTCTTTGCTATATACGCTTTATCATTTATTTTTTTTGTCAACAATTAAACAGATAAACCCATATATATATATTTTGAAAATATTTTGCTTTTCATTGAATCTTCTAAGAATCAGAACCAATATTAAGTAATAGCTAATTGCAGTAGTAGAAAAAAGAAAATAGATAATTGTCATTAGCCAAAGCTTCGTCTAATTTCATTTCCATGTCAGGCATTATTCTTCAATAGCCGGATTTATATAGTTCCTTTTGAGTCGCTGGTCGGGTAATTCCCGAGTTTTTGAGTCGGGCTTAGGTAATTCCTGAGTTTGACTATGTACTTTTGTGTGTTGCTGACAATTACGTATGTGACTATGAGATTAATTTCTGGAAAAATGCTGTGGTTGTTTTTTTAACGACACAAATTTCTATATACGTATCGTTAATTGCACCAATGATGCTAGGAATACCACATTTTTTATAAAATAAAGATTTGTGGATTTAGTTCTTACTTCTGTGTTTAAAAATAAAATATGTTTAGGGCAAATGGTGCTCTCCTAAACATTGAACATTTCATTAATAACTAATAACAATAACTAATTGATTGATAGAGCAATTTCAACAATGCTCTCATTGCATCTAACGTAGTTACTTTTTGAATTATTTATTTTGTTGAAACGTTTTGCAAGTGCCCTTCAATTTCGTGCAGCAATTCCAGAAACAAGGAAACGTCCTTGTTTAAACTATAGTTAATAATAAATCTTTTATATGGAAACAATATAATCCCCATGCTTATAGTTATTATTTTCTAACTTAGGTTTGTGTATCATATTCCAATGAATTCAGCATCCCGATTTCTTCTTTTGTATAAACGAAGATTCGTATTTTCATATTCTTCCGATGAAGAAGACTTCCAATTAAGAAGACTTCCGATGAAAAAGACAAAGGTAGATGATGAAAATATCTACTGTTTATATTTTTTATATTGTATATATTTTACATAAAGTTTAACAAATCAAGCTCAAATGATGTTGTACGTTCTTAGCCCTTAAAATTATTCAAGAAATTTGTCTATCAATCGACAAGATAGACAAATATCTATTGTCTATCAATCGACAAGATAGACAATTGTCTATCAATAGACATTTTATAATAGCCACTATTATAACATTCATAAAAATACTACTTAAAATATAGATATGAGTACAATGCAATTGTATTCGAAATTTTTATCAGTCAATCAGCTCAAAATAACTGTAAAAATTAGGATATGTTTAATTATCAGAACAAAATTATCAGCTTAAGCATATAATTCTTGTTGAAGGAAAATCTTATCATGTAAAAAATTTAAGAATATTATTTTTCTTTACAAAGTGATTATAGTAATTTATATCTAAAAAATCAATGCTATGATGACGATTCTAAATTATTTCAGTAATATTCTCTAGAGATTTAGCTTGAAATGCTGCAATACATACATATAATAATAAATTTTGGTCTATTCGCATAAAATGACAATTTGTGTATATAATAGAAATTCTTTAATACAATATTGGAATTTCCTGCAATAAAAACGAAAAGTATAAAAAGTAATATAACAAAATTGTTTACACTGACATTCACTAACATAAAAAAGATTTATTGAGGATATTTTCGAAAATAATTTAGAAAGCACATATGAACTTTAAAACCCAGAATTATGTATACCTAAAATTGATTCTATATATATGTAAATTCCTCGAAGATCATTTAACTGTTGAAAAAATAATACATATTAAAGTACTAATACAGTAGATACTTTAAAATTTTGCAAAATCATTTCAATGACCTATTGGATTCTATACTTAAATGTAAGGAATTGCATGCACAGAATGTTTAATTGTTTCTAGTCCTTTGTATCAAAAGTCATGAAAACAATAAGCTGCAAACGGAAGTTAAGTAAACAACCCTGTACAGATTTTTTTCCAATTTTTTGTTAACTGCACATTACAAACTAAATTCAAATAAATATTTCATTCCATAAAATATATTTGTGTACCACATATTCACGAAATTCGTTATGGGGTGAGATTCAAAACAATACATAAAACCTTGCTACATCACCTGCCACATAGCAGAATCAGGCGTTGAGAGAAACGCAGTCCTGCATTCAAACGTAACGTAATTGTCTATACAAAATACAGAAATAAAAGGAAGAAAGCACGAAACATGAGTACGATCCAGTGGACCTGCATGAATGGTACTCAAATTATATTGTTGAATGAACCGGCAAGAGTCGAGTTATGTTAAAATCTAAAATCTGAGTAATATTAGTAGGGGAAAAGTAATTTTAAATTTCTAAGCTGAATCACAATAAAAAGGATCAAAAAATCGAAGTAAATTTATACACGTCAGTTTTAAGCTGTCCTTTAAAATATTTAACCAAATATATAAGAAACTTACATACATTTTTTATTGCAAATTATTCATATTTTAACTGATTTTCAAATATATATATATACATCTTCTAAAAGAAAATATATTTTATTGCTTTAAAGAAAATTCATTTCTGATTGTCTTTGATGCATTATTCACTAACATACAAATTGGTAGTTAGGAAAAGCTTAAAATCTTTCTACTAACATAGCAATTTAAAAATATAACTGATTTCAACACATTGAAACACATTAAAATTGAATTCAGAACCAGTAATTTTATCTTCTGCTTAGTATTCATCACACACAAAAGCGGCTCAAGGATTGCACTTGGTGTACTGGCATTATTTATGTTCACAATTTGCCATTAGAGAATAGCGATTATTCTGCTGGAATGACTTGATCCGTTTTGAAGTTCACATTGACAGGAAAAAGCAAACATTTTGGAAGAGCACAGAAAGTGCAGTCAGTGTCAAACTGCAAATCCATAGATTGTCATTTACTAGTTTTTATCGAAGGTGTTAAGATTTATCTTTGCTATCATTTGTTCAAAAACATACAATGACTCCATTTCGCAGCAGGATTGTATTCGAATAATAAATTGCTACATACAATGCAGGAATATAGAAAAATGTGCACTAGTTTGAGATTAAGAGCAAAATGGCAAATAATTTTGTATCTTTTGCTGGTATACCTTCTGGGAGGGTTGCAGCTTAAACTGATTTTTTTGTTCTCTATCAGTGAAGTATTAACTAGGTTGAAGTATGACACAAATGCAGGGGTAGATTTCTATCAAAGTATCAATAATGTTTTTTACGAGTTTGTTTTTATGTAATTCTATAAAAAAAATATCTTATTCTGCAATTGTTAATAAAAAACAATTTTCTTGATTTGTTTATTGCGATAAGAAACCGAAAAAAAATTATTCAGAAATAACTTGTTATCCTATATTTACATCAAATATGAGGTATTGTATGGCTCAAAGCACAGGAAATTATCCTTATGGGTTTGAAATTGATCACTTTTTTCAGATTACTAGTTGTAGTGATATGGTCTAATAACATTTTATTGAATATTGTAACATTGAGTCTTCTTCTTCTTGAGTTAGTGCTATTACGCACTTTTACTCTATAATGGCTATAGGGCTTATCTCTACCCCACACTAGGCTTTAACTAGGCTAAAAAAAAAAAATCATCATTTATTTGTCTTTTAGTTGATGACGGACCTTAAATCAGCATATCTTCCTGAGAGTTCAGAACTGGACTTGAGGATTGTTAGGGCGGGGTTAATTAGCGTATCAACTTTAGTGAATAATTTTAGAGCTCTGTCTCTGATATATTTTTTCACTGAGTCAATCCTAAGATCTCTATGTATGTCTGTTGACCTAATATACCATGGAATCTTAAACAGTTTTTTTAAAGACAGGTTTTGAGCTATCTGTAATTGCTTTGAGGTAGTATTTGAGGCTTTGCTATATGTAACACATCCATACAGTAGTGCAGGACTAATTACTTGCGTATAAAGTAACTTTCTGTTTTTAAAGTTGAAGTGATAATTATTAAATAACGGCTTTAATAAATGTAGAATCTTAGAGCAGCTATTCCGTTTGTATTTCAAATGTTTAAGAATATTTAATAAATATATTTAATTTGATTTTGTGAATTTATGACTTAAAAAAAATTTTATAGATGATGAAACTAAAAAGAGCCTATTGAGATCCAATTCAATTTTAGTAAGTAGTTTAAACAGCATATTTTATAATAATTTATATTTTACATATTTTATAATAATAACACATTTACTTTTGTAATATTTTTTTTTATACGGGGAACGTTTTTTTAATTGGTATGATTATACCAATATAATAGATTATCGATACACTTTGTTTTTTAAATTCAAAATAAAACTTTAAAATTAAAATTTTTATTTATTTATATACGAAATTATTTAAATTCTTTAGCATATACAAAGTAGACACTAACATAAATAAACACGATAAATATTTTTGTAGAATGCTATCTGATGATTACACAATAGTAAATTAATGCTATTACTATGAGCCTACAATATATAGCTTGACTTATTTATTATTTACTGTGGGTATACTTTTTTAAAAAAGTTAACTTATTTCACAATTAGTTATAAAAATAATAATTATAAATAATATTCGAATTATAAATAATAAATCAAACAAAACATATAGTATACAGTAGTGTCTGTCAATCTAATACGTACCAAAATATGTCAGTATTCAATGTGTTTTATATGGACTAATATCTTTACCAAAACTGATATCGTTGAAGTCAAAAATCCAATTTTTTATGAATACAAATTTGAAAGGCTTTTGCTTTGAATTGATTGAAACACTGTTTGAGTCTGTTGAAAATAACAATATGTAGTTTGTTTTATGTCTGATTAGAGAAATAGGGTTTTCAGAAAAAATAACCAAAAAATTTTCAAAACAGAGCATCTTTGAATCCATATAACTTTTAAACTATTTACCTACAAATTGATACTAGGTACTTATATAAAGGAAATTTTGGTTTAATAGATGAATATATTTTTTATGTCTAGTTACTAGTTACTATATCTAGTTACTGCATAAAAATCACCGTTTCAAAATCTTTTGACTTCATCTTTCAGTTAGAAAGTTACACCTATAAAACGCTTGAAATTCTTATATGGAAAATATCTGCATAATTAAACATACATATATCAGAAATAAAAAATTGTCCTTATTCTAAGAAGTCTTCAAAAATAGTTTAAGTAACGACACACTACTAATACACAATGAGTTCAAAACAATAAATTACACAAAGATGTAGTTTATTTTATTGTACAATTTTTGAGGTATTAACCATTTTTTGACTAAAAGTTCTTTTTTGACTAGATTTTTATTTAACTTTTTTCTTTTAGATAATATTCAAATTTTTCACCTCTCTAACATGATATTATTCGTTTCTTGAATGACTGAATTAGCTCAGAAGTATGTAGAAGCAACACATGTTCTATAAATAGTGTATATATATAACAATAACTTATACCATAATACTTTGGAAAAGGCACTTTTTGCTAAATATATAATTCGTACAGTGTTTTTTTTTTAAGTTAGTGTCGATACTTATTTGGTGCCCTCGTAGTTAACGTACGATTAAAGCAATTTTTTCTAAAAACTCCACAAATTGTACTATTTATAGTACAAAAAAAACCATTTTGATAACCAGATAATATTAGTTGTTTTTTTTATATACTTACCCAGACTATTTACTTATCCAGACGTTACGCAAAAGCACAAATTACATAGCACATGCGGCACTCACCTGGAATCCGCAAGGCAGTAGAACCTGTGGACGACCACGCAATTCTTGGCTTGGATCCATAAACAATGAAACGAATAAATCGATAAGTGAAATAAGATATATTGCTCGAAATAGGCAAAATTGCAAAACTTTTTTACAAACTCTTCGTGAATAGTCTAAGTTCATACAATCAAATATTGTACAGAACATGTCATTATAATAATAATCCAGACTATTTAGGTCAATTACATATGTGACCCAAAAAATACTTGATGATATTTTGCAATTTTCTTTTAGTTTGTATTAAGTGATTTTACTGTTTTGTCTAATTCTTTCATAAATTCAATCGCTATGAGAGAAATTTTCCTTGAAGTTTTTCTTAAAAACACTAAAATTTATATTAGTTATTGCATACTATAAAAAAACTATACATCTATCCCAAGTTTTATCTTTACTACCAAAATAAAAAATGACACCATTGAAATGTTTATTATTAGTTTCTACAAAAAGTATATCATATCTTCACCATACAAAAATTTAATTTATATACAATATGTAACTTCTCAGCCAAACTTTGTACTTTGCATATATACTGGCTTCGTTATAGAGGAACACCTTTTGAACTCCTTTCTGGGATCACCAGACTTATTATATGTAGTTATAGCACGTGTACTGTACAAAGGATATTTATTTTTTAAAATTTGTCTTTTTAGTAGTGCATGAGGATCATCGTGACCTTTGCAAAACCTATCATAATACTCCGTTTCATTAATATAAAAATCATCAGGAAGGTCGGGATGAATATTTGAATACATATATTGGTCAACAAGTTCGCGAAAGTAAAATTTTCTATAATAGTTGACACGAGTGGCTTTTTTATAAAAAACAAATTTTTTAATAAAATATGAAAACCAGAATATAATATGGAGATTATGAAGAAATATATTAAGTTCTTACTTGGTAGCGGCTGAGGCTTATGATATATATAAAAATCCCGACATTCTGTTGATAGCCTTTGTTGGCATTCCACCTTCGAGCCCATTATGGCGATTTAATTTATTTTGTGAAGAGTGAAGTTAATTTTGCATAAAAAATTTTCTAAATTGTTTGTTATCGTAAATTTTTTGTATAAAAAGCGTCATGCAAAAAAAAAAAAAAATAATAATAATTTTGTTTTGATGTTTGTTACATTTGAAATTTATTTAAAAATCAAAGCCAACTTCTTTAATAAATGATTTTTTTATTATATGAAAGATGAAACTGGGAATTATATGTTATACTTAGCTCACGCTTTAATCCTATGTGATGGATTTGATAAAAGTTTTAGTTCAACGACATCCATTGCTAAATAATGTATACCTATCTATATGGTGTGCACATTTCAGCGAATTTGCTTAATATTTCGTTATATATTCACATTATACCTATGTAATGTTACTTTTCTTGTTATTGTAATTCAAAAATGATATTAAAGTTTTCATTTAAAATACAGTCCCTAGCAACTCTTTTTTGCTATAGATTACGGCACTATTATTATATCTCTTAATAACCAAGTAGTTATAAAATCTTTTCATTCCTAGAGCACCAAATCCAAGTAATTCAGAAGCTGCCAAAATCTCATAATCACGTTGGCTACTACGAATAAAGGAAACCTCTTTTAAATACCTGTTCCTGAGAGAAACGATATTAATAAAGCAGCTAACAGCTAACTTTTCACAAGGGGGAATATTAACTTCTTTTGCAATTGATAAATTTTATAACCTGTTTAATATTTACTTGTCAAAAAGATCTGAGTAACATCTAAAGATCTAAAACAGATTTAGCAGCTGATTTCAGTCAATGACAAAAATGACAGGTTTCTCAGGCGAAATATATTAACTGGAATTAATCACTGGTTTCGTAACTGTACTGTCAATTACTAAATTTGAAAGATGGAACTAAACAACACCGACACCGGTAGATTCTATTAAGTGGTTAAGAAAACTTCGGCCCACCTTATCTGTTCGTGTCTTGCGATTACCAGATATGGAATCCAGTAGCTTCATTCGATTTTTAATTAATAATACCAATATGTTAAGATTTATTTCGGTGGAGATATCCAAGGATAGTACAATGGATCTTATAGATGTGAGTGCCCAATAATAATAACAAAAATAATAACAGTGCTAAGTTTGAGTTTACTTTATAACTTTGTTCCATTCTCATTCTTATCTTAAGTTAATTCCTCCTCGTTTCTTTTGTTAAGAATATTTAATTCATTAACCGATACAATTTATAAGACGTAGTTTTAGTTGTTCTGTATGTTTAATATATATTCATCCATTTTGGTGTACTATCTATTTTGGTATTTAGGACATAGCAAATTTCACAGAATTCTCTCCCACATCGTAAGTTTGAAGTTACAGAATTTTATATTACTTGTCCTCAAACGGAATGAATTAAATGATATTAATACAAGTGCTACATTTTGCTTTACCTATGTCGGTAATCATATCTATTCATATCAATTTATATAAAATATGTTATTATTATTAAAAGTTTCAATTATTATTATGCTTGTTTTTTTTTTAATATAACATAAGGTACTAGTGAGATGGAAATAAATTTCTTTTCTAAAAGAAGTGTTTTGTTTATTCCCGAATTTTTAGTAGATGATACGGAAAAGGGTTTAAATATATATGATTTTTTATGATAAAGTCAATAAAAAGCCGTAATTGATTACAATAACTGAAAGGACATTGCAGATTTCATGCATCAAGCGTAATGAGAACTTTCACGCTTCAACTGTTAACATGGCATTTGGTAGCATAAATAATTTACACGTTATTTACTTTAACTTAAATAAAATGCTTAATCAAACAAAAATTGAAAATGATTTGTTCCAAAAAACCAAAAAAATATGTTAACCCCTTTTATTGAAACTATTCTCAAAAGATTCCGGTGTTATCCTTGTTATTTTAGCACGGCTACAGCATATTAAACAATAAATAATATCCAATCAAATATTTTATTTGCGAAGGAAATTCATAATATGTGCAAAGTGCAAAATTTAATGCATTGCGTTCCTTTTTTAACCCCTTACCCCTTTCATGTGTATTATTCACAATATCAAAATTCGTTTTGGTTGTGCAGTTACACGTTCCATTTGATCAAACGGTTTTTTACCGGATTCGATTTTTATTTACTCAGAACGACCTTTTTAGTTTTTATTACCCTTTTCGAATCGGTTTATCTATGAAACGCAATGCTTACAGTTATCCTTTGGAACTAGGTTAAAGGATTTTGTAACAATTTTAAAATTTTAAATTCGAAGCTATTGTTTAACATTTTTTAAGCTTAATTCTTCTCTCAACTCTCGTACTGCCAACTTCTACTACTACTCATCTACTACCCTATCACTCTGCTGTCATGTTGGTCTTTAGCATATATCAACTTATGGTGCGCAGTGAAATGCTAATGTGTATCCTTTTTGTTGGTTTATCCTCTGATTTCTGTATGTTCTCTCACCCGAAAAACATTGGATAAACAAACAGACATTGTTATTTTTGTAACAAGTATAGTTTTCATTTTTATGTTTCATTTTATTTTCGTTATTTAGTTTTTAAGCCGGTGTTGTGTCATAGTTAAGGACTTTGACTGCAACGCTTCCATTTGTTAATGGTTAAGAAAATGGTTTTAATGATTTTTAATCCGTTAAAATCGCTTTAGTCAATATTTAAAGGATTAATGTCAAACTGAAACTATATATTTTCAGCTTTCACATTTTTTCTTGTGGTTAAAGTAATGAAGTCACTAAGTTTTTTGTGTTTTGCTGACAAGTATTTGTTTATGAAAGAATTAAGTTTAATAAATAATATTTTTTTATAATTTTTTGAAATATAATTATCTATTACTAATAGGTCGAGGATAAAGATAGAAGATACCTATTATTGCCTAAATATACGTTAATATAATTTTATGTGGAATATAAAAAAAAATAATAATAATACTTAAAAAGGTTAGGTTTGGTTAGTATAGTTTAGATAAGTCTGCTAAACAGGTTCCACCTAAAGGTTGTTTATGTTACCTATGAACTTTAATTATGAGATGCGTCTTCCCCAACTAATTTAGATTTACTTATAAATATAGAGTTTCTGTGATTCGTCATTAAGTAATAAAAACAAACATTTTGTAAGTACAATAGAGTAAACAGTACACAATGTTATGTATATTGGATTCAAATGATGCTTAAGAAAATTAATGTTATGAACAAGATATCGATATTTAGAGATTTTTAATACAATATATTATTAGTCTGAGACTAATACACCATATCTTTTATTTGTAATGATTGGCAAGTCATCATCGAAAAGCTTACTTTCAAACAGAATTTATATATTATTTATATATTTGCAATATAAAGAAACAATAATTATGAAGCCTTAAGAATCACTTTTGTGTCAATTGTTTTGTCAAAAAAAACATTTTTGCAATAAATATACTCATTAGCTATTCAACTGCTTCCTGAAAATGCATTGCTTGAAACTGTTTATGGACTAGTGACATGAAAAAGCAATGAACAATAATTTTTCTCCATGCATGGGGATATCATGCTTCGCACGACTTTTAATTACAACGAGGCTGAGCGACATGGAATATTGCCTTCAGGAATAAAGTTGTTGTGTGATTTACAATACATGTTTTACCCCATTGTTTGCTGAAATATTTAAAGTCGTAGATCTATAAACACAAGTTAAAATTAATTTCAAGGAGTAAGAACAAGAACTTTAACCAGCATTCGTCTCTAAAATAATATTTTATGGATTCTATAGATTTAATAGTTCTCCACTTAAAAATGTTAAGTTAAGTATCCCTCTTCAGATTGCGGTGTACAAATCTTCTAGTACTTATTATTATTAGAATTATATTATTACTATTTTTGGTATTAATAACAAATATTCGCGTAAGGAATATTATTATAGTGAAGGCATATTTATATGCTCTCAAGTTTATTCTGTATATTCACTTCCGAAAAAGTTTATATTGAGTAGTCAATCTCATTCAAATTATCTATACATATATCTGTTCAGCGTTAGCTTTATATGAGTAGTCTTATTGCATTTTTCACTTTATATAAGTTTATTTAACTTGTTTCATTCCTTGGTGACAATTCTTTGCAATTTATTTTAAATTGTCTTTTATATTTTAGAGATATCTGATTTTAGAACTATCCTAATGTGATTATATATATCACTTTCAAAATCAAGATAGTACCAGAGTAATTATACTTAGTTGTTAAATAATTCATGAATTCAGTTATTATTATTATATTGATTGCAATCAAACAACTTATTATTTTGATTCTCCATATAGGTCAAAAATAAATTTCTTCACTTCTCTTTAAGGTACAATAAGCATTTGCTTTTGATCATATTGGGTAACACATTTCATTACTAAAGGTCAATACCGGTAACGTTATTCATAAAACATATTGTAATTATTACTATAGTATTAACTAAATTAAATTTAATTTAAAGGTAAAAACTAAAGGGAAAGGCACTTTATGAGGCAAAAATAATCATAATTGACTTATTTTATTTTTTGCACCACAGACAGTATTGATAATAATTAAAGACTGACTCCATTATAATTTGTTGAGATGACTATTTGATTCATATAGTTTTATCATCTTGAATTTTAAAATAACCATTATCTAACCTGAAAATACTTATTATTTTTAACAGATATAAAATAATGAAAACTTAGTCTATTCGGCATCTATAATTCAATCTTTTTTATATGAGTCCAGTCACTAGACTCTTCTAGTTGATTCAATTGTGTGTTTCAAACGATTTATCAATTAGGCATTAAAATGTTAAAACTTTTCTAAGTCTTTATGTGGAAAGCTCTGCCGCTGTATGTTTACTTAAATTTCTCAAATCCTAAAGCTTAAGTTCTTTAAATTTCAGTTAATAAATCGTCAACAGCTAGTACAGAAAACTGTTGGTCTGATCAAATAAAGATCTCTACTTCAAATCATAATCGTAAAAATATAAATCTCATAACTTTTGCAAACGAAAAGTTCTCTTTTTAACATTGAGTTTTTTTAAAGTAAATAGAATGGTAAATATAATATATTAC